AATATGCATTCTGCTCTCTCCCAAGTTTCGTATTTTAAAGTTTACATAGCTTCCTTAATTGTTTCTCAGAAACACAATTTGGCAAGTCAAATAACTCATATTCCAGCTTACAGATTAAATAATTGTGGCATAGAAATAATATATAACTTTCCAAAGTTTATGTTCCCGAAGAGTGATAGAAAGGGGATTCATATTTGGATTTGTCTGATTCTGAAGTATTTTATTTACTCTGCCATCATAAAGACTTAAAATTGATTTCTAGAAATGAAGAATGAAAATGAAAATAATAATAGCATTAACAGAAATGTTGCATTAAGAACTTCAGGGACATTATCCAATTTTTGTCATAACAAAATGCTTCTAACACACATGAATATATTCACATTTTATAGGTAAAGTGATTGATACTTAAGGGTAAAATATTAACCCAAGGACTGTGAGAAATAAAAAATAGAAACCTAACGAACTTGCCAAGTCACTAATATAGAATTAGCTAATTTTACTATTGAGCAGAAAATACCAGAATGCATGCAGGTAATCCACAAGTGGCTACAAGCTCCAGTGGGTTTTCAGCTCTAATTATCTGGAATTAAAGCTACAGTTTTTATACATCGTCCTACTTCTAGTAAACAGACAGCAATTATTCAATTTGCATCAGTAATGCCGTTAAGCTTACTCTGACATCTTTTTATCAGTATCTCCTGTGATTGTCCCTGACAGTGCATGTCGGGCAGATCATTAGTCACATCCACAATGAGGTTAGATTCAGTTCAGCTTCTCCAAGGAACATTTAATGGTAGGAAGTCTACAGACAAAGTGGTATTTGTCTGATCCCAACACAGTACTTTTAATCATTAAGTGATGGAATATTAATTGTACTTTAAAGATGTAAAATAATGTTGAATCAACATGGAGAGAGTTTATTTCTGTCTAGAAGGATTTAACTTCCTGTACCCAAGAATGAACTGGGCACAAGGCCATACCAGTTCCAGAGGACAGCGTGAGCAAGACGGAGGTGGGACAGTGAGAAAATGAAGATTGAGAATAGTCACACGCTTAGTTATTGTTTTATACTAGTCCTTCCTTAAAATGTAGTCTTTCCTTTGTCCTCTCCTATGAAACATTTTTTCTGACTGCATGAAGATTGCTCCTGACTCTGTGCTCAGAAAAGGAGCACAGAACTATTTACTCAGGGACAATTAAGGCTTCTAATACAATGATTAGAACTAATAAAATTGTTCTTTCCTTAGATTTCTAGAACAGATTGCTTTTTTCTTCTCTTAAAAGGTAAGCAAATACCTGGTTGAGAAATATAGGAATACATGAAAAAAATCATAAATAATATTTACAGCAGAAGAGAGATATTTATATAGTGGCAATAGTAAGGCAAGAGAAATAGATCATAACCCTGGTTTTGCCAAGATAAGTCATTTAAACCGTGTCAACTTCAGTTTTGTAATTTACAAAATGAGAACTTGGATTAAATGTTATCTTTTCGTTTTAAAATATTATGAAAAATCAGTAATGGTCAATATTAGCTTCCATAAAAGTTGTAGTGGTGGCTTGTCTTCATAAACAGAAGTCACTATAAATAAGCAAATATTTAAATCAGTATTTAAGTAATTTTAAATTAGTGAATATATTTATTTTCTCTATATGATATTAAATTGTTTAGTATAATGATATATAAGCATCACATTATCACTCACTGTGCAGAGACAAAAATATTTTTAATGCCAATATTAATTATATATGAAGCTGTTAACAGACTATATTACTTTCAAGATGTTTTTGTAGCTTTTTTCTATATGTTGAACATAGTATTTAAATCTACAAAGAATATATTGCAAAGTTTAATAATAAACAAATTTTAACACATCGCTGTACTTAAGAATTAGTGTCACTAATAACATTGTCCTATACAATATCTTATTTAGTTTTACAATAAATCATTTAATTTTGCGTGTTGTTTTCCAGCTCTACGAAATTTTACTGTACTTGGATGCAGTCTTCTGAGACATTTCTGAGAAAATATTTTAATCAGCATTTTGTTTCTAAGATTGATCCCCATGTGGCCATGCTGCGATTCATGTATCTTCTCTCTGATGTAAATGGATCACAGTTAGTGTATTTATTTAGCGGTTGTTAGACATTTGTATTTTCCTGCTGTTGGTGTTCCTGTTAATTGTGCTGATGGCATATGGATTCAAGAGTTTTCCCACAGATACAAGGCAGGGAAATTGCTGGATCTTGGACATGAGAATATACAACTGCATAAGTTGTTACATGTGGTTCATTTTAATTTACTGGCATTCCCATGGGTCTATATCTAATCCAGCATTTGAGGAATCTGGTCAAACTTCTTAATATTGTGTCAGTTTCCTTGGTGTTAAGCGGTAACTTATTTTGATTAACCTGCATTTCTATAAATACTAATGATATTGAAAAAATTTTCATATATTTATTTGCCATTTACATTACCTCTTCTGTTACATATTTGTCGTTAATTTTACCCATTTTTATATTGTGCTGGCTCTTTTCTCTTATTGAATCAATGTTTTGTATTATATATTAGAGATGCAGATATTCTGTCAGTTACATATACTGCAAATATCTTCACTCATGTTGTAACATTTTTTTCCTCTTTGGAGAAATTTTAAAAATATCACATTTTAATGTAATCAAGTTTATCAATGCTTTCTTTATAGTTAGTATATTTTGTGTTTTGAAAACTTTCCTGTACCTTGATATGTTATATGTTAATATTTGCTCTAAAATGCGTATAGTTTTGCCTTACACACTTAAGTCCTTAATTATTTAAAATGTATTTTTGGATTTAGTATAATGTATGGTCTATTTTACAATGATGATGAAGACATGGATAACAAGTTTTACTAAAACCATTTTTAATAAATCTGTACTTTCGCCCCTGGTCTGCCGTAGCATCGTTACTATAAATTAAATTTCTCTATATAATGGACCTGTGCCCGAGTTCTGTTTTCTGTTTCTGTTTGTGTATCTTTTGACATTGGCACAATGTCTTAAGTTCTAATACTATATAACAAGCCTTGACAAATGGTAGGGCAAGTATCCTTTATTGAGCTGCTCTATACAAGTCTGAATAATCTTAGTACTTAGAAATCTTAGAATCAGCTTTCAATTTCTAGGAGCAATTCCCGTTGGATTTGTATTAAATTACATTGAATTTACACATCAGTTTGGAAAGGCTGACTTCATGATAGTTTGTCTTCCAGTCACGTCCATGATATAGCTGTTAATTTCTTCAGATCTTTAATGAAATTCAAAAAAGTGTTCTGTGTGTAGGTGTTTCATATACTTTATTAGCTTTATTTCTAGGTGTCTTACAGTATTTTTATTGACTCGTTAGTTTTTCACCACTAAGAATAATATACATTGTAGTTTTTTATTCCTGTTGTTTGTTTAATGTATTCTTAATCAGCTTGAGAGGGCATGTTCTATTTCTAGTTTGCTAACAAGTCTTTTGTTTGTTTTTATTTTATACTGTTTAGAATGTATGGATATTGCGTTTTATTTCTTGTTTTTTCTATATGTGTTGAGGTGACATCTGTGCTTTTTTGTCCCTCTTTTGATTCGTTAAGTTTGTGGATAATTTTTGTACTTTTTAAAATTTGTTTCCTTCCTTCCTTCCTTCCTTCCTTCCTTTAATGCTGAATTAAACAAGCATTCCTGGAACTAAATTGCTAAAGATAGATTTTCTTTTTACACACCAGTGGACTAAGTTTGCTATTATTTAAGTTATTGAAATTTCTCTCTCATGAGCGGGAGCATCTGCTATTGATATCAAAGTCTTCAGGCCACAGAAAAAAAGTTGTAGAGTATTTCCTTCTCCCTCTATTTTCTGGGAAAAAAGATGTATAAGACTAAAATTACCTGGTTCTTTAACTTTAGGTAAAATTAACTAGGCCTGATTGTTTTCTCTTTGGAAAAATTATTTTTTTACCTAAAAATTGAGTTTCATTTATTATTAGAGTACTACTCTGATTTTCTATTTCTTTTAGAAACAAATATGGCACTTGTTAACCCAGCCACTTTCTTACTATTTTTAGTATCTTCTGTATATATATTTATTCTCTCTTTTTCATTAGGAGTCTGGTTAGTTTTTGCCTTCTCGTGTTCTGCTTTGATAAATTTGTGTAAATTTTATATCTTTTTTCACTAGTTTTTTTTAATGTGTTAGTCTGTTATTATAATTTTAATTTTGGGTTTTTTTCAGATAATGACAGAAATGTCAGCAATAAAAAAAAAAGATTTAATTTTCCCACTACGAATTCTGCATTTATAGCTTTGACATGTAAAATCAATCAAATATTTGCCTTTTTCTTACATTTCAGAATTAATAAACTTACAGAAAAATGGGGAGACTGCATTTAAAACCTATTTTGAAGTGTTAACTCTGACATTTTGATATCTACCAGAGTTATATATGAATTCATGCTAAGTGCTGATTTAAATTTTATTTTTCCCCAGTATGACTTAACATCACACACTCCATATATTCTCCTATAAGAGGAAAATGATCCTTTATTTAAAGAACTTTACTTTCTATTTTCTCCAAGTTTATTTTGATTTGAAACCTTGAACTTTTTAAAATTTACGTGATTTTTTTACCAGCTGCTTTTCTTAGATTAATGATGAAACCAATTGTTCATGCCTTCAGCTCGACAGCAGACAGTGAATTCTGACAACTTTCTCCCACTCCAGTTCCTGAATAACATGTAATTTCCTTGATATGACAAAATATCATTTTAGCATTTGCGTCATGCCTTGGTGTTCATTTTTCATTTTTCTGTAAGTTAATGAGTTCTAGCAAAGAGTGCCATCATTAAGTTGTCTTTTGTCAAGAGCCCTGCTGCGGCATATGGGGCTAGAGACAAGCTACAGTATTAAGGAGATTTGTTTTCAACCAAACCTCTGAAGTGTGCACGGAAATACTAAATACATCCCTGTGTGTTTTGCAGACAATCCTGGTTTGCTGAGCCATGTCGCAGTGGGCATTAGAGTTCTGGATGTCAATGACAATCCACCCGAACTTGCCAGGGAATATGATATTGTTGTCTGTGAAAATTCTAAGCCTGGCCAGGTAAGTTAATTGTTTCCTTCCTGTCATTTGAGTGGAAGAAAAACAAGCAGCTCTATTTCCATTATTCTTCGGTATAATCCTCAAAATCCCCCAGTGTTACTTTTGTGCTAAGCGAATATAATTTTAGAAAGCTTTATTTTAAGTACCAAGTAGGTTTTTTTGAGAATCATAGAAAATACATTTTCTCCAGATCCCAAATATAATTCAAAAAATGAACTCATTCATGAACACATTCATCATACCAATAAAATTATATTGAATACTTTGTATACAGCCCTGTATTAAATGAGGAGGAAACAGTGAACTTCCCAGTCCTAATAAAGCTTAGAGACTAAAGTAGGGAAGAGGGAGGGGCCTGGTTTATTTTGAAGGGTCTGAAGGAGTGACATATGAGTGACTATTGACTGATATTGGTACTAAAAGATGATTAGGTTTTAACAACGTGAAGACTGTGTATGTATTAAGGAGGTGGGGAGAGTGAAGGATGGAGAGAAAACCTTGAACATGGGACATGAGTCTAGATGTATCATGGCGGCGGGTTAAAGGAACATGGCAATTTGGAAAGAAAGCCAGTGTGCCTGAGGCCATAAAGCAATTGAGATACTGGAAGGGGATGTGCATTTGTCTTCTCTGTTGTATAAAAAATTACACTAACTTAGAAGCTTAAAACAACACATATTCATTATCTCACAGTTTCTGTAGGTCAGATTTCTACTCATGGCTCAGCTAGGTCTTTCCAGGGGTCTCACAAGACTGGAATCAAAGTATCAATCAGAATCGTGTTCTTACCTGAGTCTTGGGGATCTCTTTCAAGTTCACATGGGGGTTGGTAGCATTCAGTTACTTTCATCTCTAGAACTGAGAGCTTCAGGATTTTCCCCAGCTCTTCAATGTTCCCTAGAGTTTTGAGATGCCACCCACAGTCTGTTGCCATATGAGCTTCCCCAATATGGCCACTTACTTCATCAAACAAGTAAGGAAAGTCTCTCTGGTAAGTCTCCGACAGTCTCACTGGACAGTCTTGTATAATGTGACATAATCAGGTGAGTGATATATAAATACTTTTTCCTACATTCTATTGGTCAGAAGGCCAACAGAAGCCACACCCAGACTTAAGGGGAAGAAATTAAATAGAAGCATACGTTCCATGCAGGGTAACTTAAAGTGTGTTTGCCTCAGATGAATCCAGAGAGGTAGAAAGGCTCTAGGTCCAGCTGAGTCAAATAGTCTGCTTTACTATCTTTGCTAAACCAGAATGAAAATATCATCCCAAATTACGTTAAATCACCCTGAAAATTGTGATGAAATTATAGTCCTGAGAAACATTGTCTTGTGTGTTTGTGTATGACGGACAAGCAATAGCGACTTACTAAAGTAATCATTGCTTATGTGTTTTTAATAAACCCAGGGAAAGTATTTAAATATTTATAAATGGAGGACTCTTTTTTACATGAAGTTTTCTCATGTTCATTGTCCACAATAAAATTGGAAAATATGAATGAGGACAAAATGGATGAAAATTATATTTGGAAGTATTTATAGGTTATATGTTTTATACTCTTAACAATGTATTAAGATATCACTTCAGGTGCTTAAATAGTTTTCTATATCAGCATTTTAAAAGCAGCAATAAATTTTATGTTACATATATATAATTCTTTACTTACCCAAGTCCATTTCAATTATGTCATAAATGAAGGCACACATTACGAAATTATTTTCTTGACATACATTGCAAAAGAACGAGTTACCCAAATCCATTTCAGTTATGTCAGAAGTGAAGGTGCATATTGCAAAATTATTTTCTTGACATACATTATAAAAGAACAACTGATGAGAAAAATGTTAAATACTCAAATGGAAATTTAGATTTTAAAAAATATAGCCACTGAATATGGGATCTCAATTCTTGGTAATAATATCAGATTATACATAGCTGAAGAGAAAATAAGTGAATTGGAAAATAGGTCAGAATAAAATATCTGTGTTGAAGCATGGAAAGACAGAAAAGATAGAAAGTAGAAACAAGAATATGAAAGACATATTGGACATGCAGATCTAACATATAAATTATTGAATTCCCAGAGGGATATTAAATAATTGAATTGTGCAGAAGTAATATTTGAGTAGATCATGGCTGAAAATTTTTCCATACTGATGGCATACATCAAGTTAACCATTTAAGAAGCATGGAGAAAAACAAAAACAAAAAACTAAGGGACTGACTACAAAGATAACTTCACCTAGATGCATTAAAATAAAATTTCAGGAATAAACTCATAAAATTAAAACAGCAAGAGAAGAAATACATAATACATTTAGAAAAATAACATGAATCTAGTTTGAAATGAAGAGTTCTTAGATTTGACACCAAAAGCATGATCCATAAAAGAAAAACATCGATAAATTAGACTTGATTAAGTTAAAATTTTTTGCTTTGCGAAAGACCTTGTGAAGAGGAAAAGAAGACAAGACAGAGAGTAGGAGAAGATATTTGCAAACCAAATATTCAATCAATGATTAATACCTAGAATATAAAAAGTATACTCAAAACTCAACATTAAAAAGAAATGCAATTTAAAAATGGGCAGAAGACATGAGCAGACATTTCACTCAAGAGGATTTACAAATAGAAAACAAGCAAATGAAAAGCTGTTCAGCGTCACTAATGATTAGGCAAATGAAAACTAAAGCTGCAATGAGACATCATTACACACCTGTTAGATGTGTGGGGCCAAATGAAAAATAGTGACAAAGAATCCAGGGGAGATACAGAGAAATTGGTCATTGATACATTACTGGTGGAAGTGTGAAATGGTACAGCTACTCTGAAATACATTTTTGCAATTTCTTAAGAAACTAAACATACAATTACCATATACTCCAGAAATGGCACTTTGGGACATTTTTCTGAGAGATATGAAGATTTATATTCACACACAAAAACTTTACATGAATGTTTATATAGGTTTTATTCATAATGAATCCAAACTGGAAACAACTCAGATATCTTTTAATGGGTGAATGGTTAAACTGCAGTGAATTCATATCATGGAATACTTCTCAGCAATAAAAAGGAATAAACAATTGATAAATGCAAAAACCTGGCTGAAATTCCAGATAATTCTGCTGAGTGAGAAAAAAGAAACTAATAGCACCAAGCTTTCATAATGTATGACATCAAAGGTTAAGGAGGAGAAGAGGGGGCGGGGAAGCGTGTATTGGCTGTAAAGGGCAGCATGGGGGATTCTTATGGTGAAGAAAATGTTCTGTATCTTGACTGCACCAATGTCAATATCCTGGTTATGACATCATATTATAGTTTTGCAAGATGTTAACAGTAGGGGAAATTGGGTAAATGTATACAGCATCTCTCTGTATCTCTTACAACTGCATATGAATCTATCATTATAATAATATAGAAAGTTTAATTAAAAGTAAAATCAAATGAACATTTTTGAAAAGATCAATGCCTTTAAAAGAACCACACCAGTGATGATTTTTCATCAGGAAAAATAAAAGCCAGAAAGCACTGAAAAGGTTACTCCCAAGAGCCACAATGTAAAAACTGACAACCATGAATTCTCTTTCTAACAAAAATCTTCCTCAAAAATAGACAATTAAAACTCATATTTAGGCAAACATAAATGTGAAAATTTGTTACCATAAGCCACACATTAAAGCTTTTCTTGTGTGAAAAAGGAAAATAACCATTTTGGTAGCTTGGAGGGGCAAGAATGCTTAATGACCAAAGCAATTAATAAATATATTGTTAAAACTAGGTTATTTATAAGTGAATAGAAGTCAAAAGAACATTTTCTAGGGGCTTGCCCAGTGGCATAGTGGTTAAGTTTGTGCACTCTGCTTTGGTAGCCCAGAGTTTGTGGGTTCAGATCCCAGTCACAGACCTACACAACGCTCATCAAGCCATGCTGTGGCAGCATCCCACATACAAAATAGATTGGCCCTAAGCCAATCTTCCTCACAAAAGAAAAAGAGAGAAAAATTCCAGGATTTAAAATATACATAGTATACAGGGCAACAAGAGATCATAAATAAGGAAAAATATTCTAAACTCCTTAAATTTGAGGGAAATTGATAAACTACTAATTTATAATCAATATTATGTGTCAAGAATGCATGCTGTAATTTCTAGTTTAAGTAATAAAATTAGTAAAAGACAATGTAACTAACAAGTTAATAGAAATTGAAAATAAAAATACTTAATCCTAAAGAAGGCAATATTTAAAGTTCTATTTCTTGACCTTAATTGTATTTATTAAGCTATAAAATATTTTTTATTTTTAAAATAATTCACACTTGCAAAATTGTTGTGTGTGACTTTATTCTACTTTATTATGTTTTACAACACAAAGGTAAAGGCAAAAGAAGCTTTTCATATACAACTTGGCTTCAAGGATTCTAGAAGGGCATATTTCAAAACTAAAATGTAATCCTAATAAAATACGAAGTTTATAATGAATTTACTAGTTCTAAAGTAATCCAAAATAATCAAGTTCTGTGACGTTTGCAAAGCTCAAAGTGAGAATGATCAATTTTCATATTTGCTGTTAAGATATAGTTTGTCTTTTAACACATAATAGACAATATAAAATTTGAAAGTTTTATTACACAAAATTACAATAGCTAAGTAGATGCCATGGTAATTTTTTAATTAAAAAAATCAACAAATAGACATAAATATAGAATATGGGGAAAATAAAAAGTAAATAAAATGATGTAAATTTAAAGAAGTATATGTCAGTATTTATGTTAAAATAAAATCACTTAAATACTCAAACTAAAATACTCCTTTTGTCAAAATAAATAAGAACAAAGTCAATTAAATGTTGTTTATGAGAGATGCATAATAAATATAATAAAGAAAAAAGTTTGAAAGAAAAAGTATGGAAAGATACACCAAACAACTACTTGAATAATTGCTATATACATACTCACCCAACTGCACACACACATGGACAAACTTTATCAAAGGAAAA